CCCCCCCAAAAAAAACGCCGTTATTTATTGGTTAATTTAATTTGGTTAAATTCATGCTTTCTCTTCTCATCTATCATTAGCCTGGTTTACCAAACAGTTTGTCGGTCCATTCGAATTAAATTTTAGTTGGCATTAGTCATCGGTATTTTAGGTGGTTCGTTTAGTTTCCCAACTTCTAAAGTCTGCCCAGCTCCTTTTTGTTCTGTTTATATTTGTTATTATAGTACATTGACTTTTTCAGTTCGACCAAATTGCTCTACTTTAGCAAACTTCAATTGATATGACTTCTATTGCTCTTCTCCTCTTTTTTTTGTACTCAGACGCAGAGATAGCCGGCATCAGCGTCAGCCCTCCGCGAGTAAGAATCTGCGCCAACACCCACCCTCCATGTCAGCAGCTCCTCTCACAACCAAGTTAGCAAATCCACTTCGTCGAATTCTCCAACTCTCTTCCTCGCGCCTACGCTCCCACTCCCCACCGCCACCTGCAGTAGCGCAGTCCCGTTCAACAAATGCTGCAACGTCCCATTTTTTTGGGGTGTCTGATCCAGTGCTGATAGATACTCGGGAGACAGAGGCCGCGGACTTAGCCAACTTCCGAGTGCCCTATCGCCTATCAGAGGCTGTGATTGGTGATGCTGCTAATCCCTTGCTACCACAGTCGACCGCTTTGGCGGTGACAAACGTGGGATTTTGTAATTCAACCGGTGGTAAGTTGCTTCCTCACGCCTCCTCTTTCTTTGATGTGGACCCCCTCCCCCTCACCAAGCAAAGAAAGGAAGCGAACTATTGAGTTTTGTTAAAATGATGTCTCTTCGTTGTATTAGCGAGGTGAGGACGAGGGGGTAGAGCATTCATTCATTTTTATACCCAGTGGCCTAGGCCTGTTAAGCCACTTTGAAAGATGTCGTGGGAGTCGTGTTGTTGGCTGAAAGTTGAGGAAAGGAGTGATTGACTGACATCGCTGCGAATATGAGGACGTTGACCTTGCCAGCATTTTTTTAGTGGATTGGCAACTGAATGTCAGCTGATTTTTTAAGATGGCTTAATGCAGTCAACTAACTTTCCACTAACAAAAACCTAGACCTCAATGACAATCGATTGTGCCAAAATCATGGCAACTGTGTTTGCTTCTTTTTCCTCTTTTTCTTCTTCTTCTTCTTCTAAGACCTTCACTTGCTCCTGGGTCATGAGCTGTTTATTATCACCTCCTAGTACTTAACAGTTGGTAGAGTAATTCGGCGGATTTTTCGCTCTACATGCTGATATCGAAGTTAAGAAGACGGGACAACACGAGTTCTCTTTATTGTAATGAAAATTTACTATAGTTTAATCTAGCCCTTTAACGCCCGCATTTATTTATTTATTTTTGGAAACCGCTCCTAACTGCACTCACGCATTGCCTCACAGCAGACTGATTCCGCCTACGTGATGCGTTTTGGTGGTGTATCAGGCGAAGGTGGCTATAGGCACGTATTGAACATGCCTCAAACTGCAATATTGCGCCTTCTGTTATGAGTCTAATGCCAATGGAGGATCGTACAGTCCTAAGAGCGTCAAACTGACAAATACTTATCGTAATTCATGTTACTTTATGCAAAACAAACAAATAGCTAGGGTTTTATCTTTGAAAGGCCAGTATTTCGAGTTGAATGGTTTGCCATATCGTTCTTGAAGTAGGTGAAAATCAACGGCCATCCAGTGATTTTAATCCGTCGGTGCCAAACTCTCTTACGAGTGACTGAATTACCTGCCTATACCACCACTGCGCCTTCACTTTCGCGCTTTCATTGTCGTCGTGTTTTTGGTTTTCACTGTAAATAATAATGGATTAGCATGAATGCTTGAAGAAAAGAGGCGACGTGTTGACTGACTCATGTCAATTAGAGACCGACCCTAGGTGGGGTAGACGTGTGTATGAGACGACCGCATCGTCCTTATTTCTTTCTACTTTTATTGATCCGTCTATTTTTACCCTCTTTCTAGAACCTTCTCACCACATGTCAACTCAACAGTTGTAGATGACCAAAGAAGGAGATTCTGGCTACGTTTGTTCAACTCTCTCTCTCTCTTGTTCACCCTCCTTTGTTATTTTGCATTTGATGAAAATGAAGCAGTCGCCCTCATGCTTGGCAGGTGGTTGTAGATGCCTGAGAGCTGAAATTGCCCCAAATTAACTTTATCTATTGCCAATATGTCCTTTATACTTGTCCTTTCTAAAGGTGTATCTATGCTCCCTCCCCTCTCCACCTCCCCCGCCCCGCCCCACCTGTCCCCTTTCTCTGTTTTTTTTGTGATTGGTAGGTGATGTTGGTAAGGGGAAACAATAAGCATAACTTGTAATATATCTGTATGCATATTCTCTCACACAATAATTTGATTTGAATTTTTATTTCCTTTTTCTACTCTTTGATGGTGGGGGGTGGGGAGGGGGGGACGTATTTTGGTCAGGGTGGTAAATTAATGTGAGGTTGTGGGGTGTGCGATAGACTTACCTCCACGTGGTGCACCCTGGGCAACATATACTCATACGGCAAAAAAGTCTATTAACCGGCAGTTGACTTCTGACTTCAAACTACCATCAACCCACTGTATGTCATATTCGACTACTTCCACAGTGCTCACCTCACCTTTTCTCCGCTCTTTTGTCTGTCTCTGTCACATCTGTAAATCATTATTCTGTCCACCCTCTCGACTTTTTGTCACTTTGATGTTCCTCCTCTCTGTGAAGCCTGAAGTCAGCTAAATGTCTAATGATAACTATCAAAACGCCTGCCATTTGAAATAAATAAATAAATGTGAGGTTGTTGATAGCCAATTAAAAAATAATCGTGCTGTCGCGTTGGCTTACAGGCTTGTGGTATTGTATTGCCTGGATGCATAAATCCATTTAGTCTAAATGTTGTAGTTTCCGTATCTCTTTGAGAGCTCTGCTTTACGATTGCACGTGACAAGGGCGTAAAATGTGTATTAGAGTAAGAAAGA